CCAGGTCATGACTCCTGCGGCCTCTCAGGTCTAGCCAGGCACCACGCAGCTTTTACTCCTCCCACACAGCTTTTACTCCTCCCCGACCAATGTCTTTGCATTTGCTGTGACCCTTGTTACTTCCCTCATTTGCCCCAAGTGCTGCCTTGCTGCTACACCACCACCAGCCCACTCTCAATAAACTTGTCTTGCAGGTAGATGGGAGATAGCCCCACTGTCCCACGGCACCCCTATGTGATTCTACTTCTGCTCTGATACTTGCTAGAAAAAGTCTTTTAAAAAAAAAAAATCTTATTAGAGATTCAATTCACATGTCAGACAATTTCCCCATGTACAGCATATAATCCAGGAGATTTTAGTGTATTCACAGTCATGCACCCACCACCACAGCCAGTTTTAGAAAGTTTTCATCACCCCCAAGAGAAACCCTGTACCCTCCATCCTCATCCATATTCCCTCCCAGCCCCATGCAGCAGACGACCTGCTTTCTCTGTGGACCTGCCTGTTCCTGACACTTCATCTAAACGACATCACACAGTGGTGGCCTTTTGTGTTTAGCTTCTGTCACAGTGGCATGGTTTCGGGGTGCATCCATGCTGCGGCATGTACCAGTGCTTCTTTTCTTATTGTGAATAATATTCTGTTGTACGGACAGACCACACTTTATCCCTCCATTCATCAGTTGATAGGCATTTGGGTTGTTTCTGCTCTTTGGCCATTGTGAATAATGCTGCTGTGGAGGTTCACGTACCAGCATCTGTGTGGACTATGTGTTCATTGCTCATGGGTGTGCACATGGGAGTGAAATGGCTGGATCATATGGTAGTTCTGTTTAACCAGTGGAGGTGAAGAACTTATACTAGCCCCATGACTTCTCAGCCGAGTTTCCAAGGCCCTTTCCAACCGTTCTTGATTTCTGCTATTCTGAATCACAGACTGGCTGCTTCTGCTAGACCAGGCTTACCGTCACCAGGCAAACTGTGTTGGGGCCCTTGCCTTTGACCTAGATCCATCCTTCCAGACCCAAGCTCCACTAGCTTCTCACTCCAAGTCACTGGTGCTCATGCCATTGTATGGTTGTTTAAATGGGAGTGGTGGAAGTTAAAAGGGGTGGTAAGAATTGCAGGCTTTGGGTTCAAATTCATATTTACCCCTTTGTGAGCTGTGTGGCCCTATTTCTAACTTCTCTGAACCTCAGTTTCCTTGTATTTTTAAAATTAAAATTTGTATTTTTTAAAAGATTTTATTTATTTATTCATAGAGACACACACACACACAGAGAGAGAAAGAGAGAGAGAGGCAGAGACACAGACAGAGGAAGAGGCAGGCTCCGTGCAGGGAGCCTGATGTGGGACTTGATACCCGGTCTCCAGGATCAGGCCCCAGGCTGAAGGCGGTGCTAAACCACTGAGCCACCCAGAGATCACCAAAATTTGTATTTTCAAAGTAAGATCTCCTTATAGATTGTTACTGTGAGGAATAAATAGACTGGTAGATGCTGTTATTATAATTATTGTCTTTTCTTGATGCCTTCTCAACCATACTCTAAGAACCTTGAAGACCAGAACCCTGTGGGGCTAGGGGAGCTCAGGCATTGTTTCCATGGAGCGGGGGCAGGGGTGCTTTTGGCATTTTGGCTGGCCCCGCTGGGCTGATTGTCCAGCTCTTCGAGGGTTTAGCATGACTGGCCAGAGCTGTACCCTAATTCCTGGCTAAGAATAAGAGAGTCAGACTCCCACTACTGAGGACAAAGGTGCCTTCCTGCAAGCGGGCTCCTGGCTCCACTTCTTGCCCCACAAGCCGGGTGCTCCCAGGCCTGGCATCTTGGGCTGAATTCAGGGCACATTCTGCCAGTCGTGGCTGGTCCTGCTCGCCGTCCAGCTGGCGTGACCAAGCACCGCAGGCCTGGTTGGGGCAGGTGGTTCGGACTGGTGCCGGGGACCCTGCACGGCCCCTGGAAGGGAGCATGTGAGGCTAAGCAGGTCTAAACTAGGGACCACTTGTTTTTGCTTGTTTGAATTAAATATTGACTAGATAAAAAAGAATTCTTACTAAATGTGTATAGGATGTGAAGAAGTGTGATATAACAAACACCAGTGTACCCAGCAACCATTGTTTAAAAAGAGCTTCTTAAAAAAAAAAATAAAAAGAGCTCTTTGTGTCCTTCCCCAAATTCTGTCCCATTTCCTCTCCTTTACTATTCCAGATTTTGGTTCAGTTACTCCCTTGCTGCTCTTGATTGTTTCTGTGTAGGTCTGATTCCCAAGACAATATATTGTTTAGTTTTGAAGAGGAGACATACTGCGTGTGCATGCGTGTGCGTGTGTGTGTGTCTGAGTGAGAGAGTGTGGGTCTTTTTGTCTCTCTATCCTGTATACAAGATAATCTCTTCAGTTGTGTCTTCTGATGGCTGACTCTTTTCTACTGTTTCTAATTCATAAAACCCATTCATTGCATTTCTAATTTCCAGTTGTGTTTTTCATTTATTGGAGTTCTATGTATACAGTTCATTTAATATCCTACTTTCAAAATTAATTTTTATGTTATCAAAGCAAGCATGTTTCTCTCTCGACATTGTGTTTCTGTGAGCATGGATGTTCATGTTCTCTGCTGTCCAGGGTCCCATGGTATGGTCATGAGGCTGTGGCAGGCACAGGGCACACAGCAGTGGGCAGACAGGTGAGCTCCTAGTCTGCTCCAGATTCAGGTGTGGCAGGGAGAGGGACGAGCGGGCACTGAGTCATTCACCTGGGCTTGCAGAAGACAGGGCCCCCAAGGAGTGCAGGCCAAGGGGTCAGTGAAACCCTCTAGAAGCAGGGACCTGCAGGACAGGTAGATGTTAGTGGGTGAAGACCCAATCCCAAGTTCCAGCTCACTCACATGAAGCCTTTGACAGATGATTGCTCCTTCTGTCATGATGTCAGGCTTTTTCTATAAAGCTCTGGATTGGCTGGGTGTCGGCAGGTGGGCGGAATATGAACTATGCCCTGTGAGGTGTTGTGCATTTGAAGCCCAGGCTGTGAGAGACTGCGGGCTTGTATGTATTTGAGTCGCTGATCATCAGACCTCGCCCTGAGTTCTGGAGGGTATGGTGTAGTGTTGCATGTGCTGGCCCTAGACATTCAGTGCTTCCATGTGGTGTGCAGCAGGGGTAATGGTGGTGGCTGCCGTGCAGGACCCCGTGTGTGTGTGTGAGCGGAAGGGGTACGGTGAGCACCTAGCTGCTGTGGCGGGGCTCTCTGCTCAATGTCTTCTGTGCTACTCTCCTCTACCCTTGCAGGACCCTGCCCTCCTGCCAAGCTGGTGTCTGCATCTGGGGGTCTTACACTTAAACACACACAAAACGGACCTCATGATTTCCCCTCCATCAAACTGCTCCTCTCCCAGTGGGGCCTCCCCACTGCCCATTCTTTGCTTAGGCCTCAGTTCTAGAAGTTACCTTTGGCCCCCACCTTGGGCTTAGGCTTGCCACCAGTGTGCAGTAAGCCCAGTCACTTCTGATCCTGCAACAAATCATCCACTCCCTCTGGCTTTTCTGCTGCCACTTCAACTCCAGCCTGGTTGCCACTCTGCTGGGCAACTGTGTGGCCTCTGCCATGGGCTTGTTGCTTCTGCATCCATTCTCCCCACAGCGGTCTGGAATCTGTTCTGAATGCGCACCAGATCTCGTCTTTCCCTGCCTCAGATTCTCCGCTGGCTTCCTCTGAAGGTAGAAGCTGGTACTGCTGGTACCACCAGCCCCTGCTCACCTTCCTGTAGACCATCACAGCCGAGCTCTTTCCTGCCTCGGGGTGTGTGCATCTGAAGGCTCCTTTATCATCTTTACCTATTTTTTTGCAGCTCACTCTGGAGTCCTCAGGCCCTCTTCTCACTCTGTCTGTAATTTCTTTTTTATTTTTTTAAGTCAGCTCTGCATCCAGCATAGAGCCCAATGCAGGGCTTGGACCCATGACCCTGAGATTAAGACTTAAGTTGATACCAAGAGTCAGACACCCAACTGACTGAGGCAGCCAGGTGCCCCTGTAATTTCTTTGCTGACTTACTTTGTTTTCTTTCCTTCTCACTGAAAGCCAAGGGCAGGGCCCTCACACCTGCACACTGCCTGGTGCAGCTGTGCCCTTAGTAATGGGGTGGTGGTTATTAGCCCATTTAATGGCAGGGTGCGAAAACAGACCCAGAAGTCAGGGAATGCCTAGAATCACACAGTACTAAGTGGCACTGGGACCCTAGAGCCCAGGCCCTCACCATAACGCCACCTCCTTCTCTGGCACCACACCCACCCACCAATTCCTGAGGAGAGCAGGAGTCTGGCCACCCATCTGCAAATAAATGCCCTCTGGCCTTTGCTGGGACAAGACCCTTCCCCACGCAGATTCTTAGGAAGGCCCAAGGAGTTTGACAGCTTCACTTAAAATGCTCAGGCACTCTCCTTCCTTCTTTTGTTGAGGTTTGCTCTGGGGTGTCTGGGTGGCTCAGATGATTTAAGTATCTGCCTTCAGCTCAGGTCATGATCCCAGGATCCTGGGATGGAACCCCATCTGCATCAGGCTCCCCACTCAGCAGGGAGTCTGCTTCTCCCTCTGACCCTCCCCCTTTCATGCTTTCTCTCTCTCTCTCTTTCAAATCAATAAATAAAAAAATAAAAAAATAAAAACTTAGGATCCCTTTAGCGCCTGCCTTTGGCCCGGGGCGTGATCCTGGGGTCCTGGGATGGAGTCCTGCGTTGAACTCCTTGCATGGAGCCTGCTTCTCCCTCTGCCTATGTTTCTGTGTCTCTCATGAATAAATAAATAAAATCTTTAAAAAAACTTCATATATTAAAAAAAAATGGTTTGCTCTGACATAAGTCATTTTTATAAGCTCTCTGAGGGATGAGGACTCCAGCTGCAGAGTGGGCGGGCAGGGCAGGGGTGCAGGGCGGGGGTCCAGGTGTTTCTTGGGGAAGTTGGGCATGTTGCCAGTCTTTGACAACCTCTGCCCCCCCTCCTCCTCCCGTGTAGGCCGCACCAGCTTCTATGAGGAGTATGGTGTCATCCGAGATGTGCTCCAGAACCACCTGACAGAGGTCCTCACCCTCGTGGCTATGGAGCTACCCTACAACATCAGCAGCTCCACGGCTGTGCTGCAGCACAAGCTGCAAGCCTTCCAAGCTCTGCGGGGCCTGCAGAAGGGCAGTGCTGTCCTGGGCCAGTACCAGGCGTACAGCACGCAGGTGCGCAGAGAGCAGCAAAAGCCAGACAGCTTCTACAGCCTGACGCCAACCTTCGCAGGTGGGCTCTGGGGCCACAGCTTTCCAAGGCCAGACACCCTTTGGTTTGGGTTGGAAGAGACCTCAGGAGGGATATTCACGGGGGTGCTCATCACCAAGGAGGAAAGTCCTTTGCCTCTCTGGCCTTCCACCGTCTTTCAGCAGTAGGTCACCTTTTGGGTCGTTCTGGGTAAAGGACACCCCAGTGATGGTCTCAGTTCAATCCACATCCACACACACTTCCAGAGCTCTCTGAGCCGGGTTCAGACCTGGCTCCCGCTTATATCCAGCCCCCCAGTGAGGTTATCCATCTGTCTGGCCACAGCCCACAGCATTGCCAGGAGGCAGTCACCCTGCTGCTCAGACAAATGTCCTCTCGAGCCATCCTATGGACACTTCCCTAGGCCCAGAGCGTTCCTGGAAAGGGCTGACTCCCTAAGGCTGCAGATAATAAACTCTACTACAAGAGCAGTGACTGTTTATGGGGCACTTCTGACATGCCAGGCACTTGATATACGCTACCTTATATAATCCTCAGGTGCACAGATCCGTGACGCAGCCATGATTGCTACCCCATCCAGAGGTCAGGAAACCAGAGGTTCAGTGAAGTTCAGAAACTTGCCCAAGGTTAGGCACAGATAGTACATGGAAAAACCAGGCTTGGAACTCAAATCAGGTGTGCCCTCAGCCACTGGCTTCCACCACTTTGGTGCCTGCCCCCCTCCCACTGCAGCCCCCTTACCTGCACCCCACCCTGCTGTTGGCTCAGAACCCCAGCCCACCTCTTCTCTGCTGTCTGGCCTTGACTCATGCGCATCTGGGTTCTCAAGGATCCTCCCCCCACCAAGAGTCAGAAATGCCTCCACCATAAGACTTCAGTTTTCTTTGCTTGGGGCTGGGGGAGGCCAGGACTCTAAGGTGCCTCACAGAGGTGGGCATCTGAGGTGGCCTAGAGGCTGGATTTTGAGGACTGGTTTGGGGGAGAAGATGCTAGAAAGGATGAGAATAGCAAGGCCAGGGGTGCCCCATTCAGAGAGGAGAAAGGTTGGTGGGGTGGTAAGGAAGGGAAGGCAGGTGCACTGGAAGTCCTGGGTTCTCTGTGCCTGAGTGTCACCTCCACTGTCCCCTGTCATCTCAGGCATCCTTGTTCACGTGGACAACCTTCGCTGGGAGGGCGTCCCTTTCATCTTGATGTCTGGCAAAGCCTTGGATGAGAGAGTGGGCTACATTCGGATCTTGTTTAGGAACCAGGCTTACTGTGTCCAGAATGAGAAGCGCTGGGTGGTGGACCAGAGCCAGTGCCTGCCTCGACAGATCATCTTCTACATTGGACATGGTGAGCTGGGCAGCCCTGCCGTGCTGGTCAGTCGGAACCTGTTCAGACCCTCCCTGCCCTCCAAGAGCTGGAAGGAAGTGGAGGGCCGACCCGGGCTCCACCTTTTCGGCCGCCCTATCTCTGATTACTATGCCTACAGCCCCGTGAGGGAGCAGGATGCCTATTCTGTCCTCATATCTCATATCTTCCACGGCCGAAAGGACTCCTTCATCACCACGGAGAACTTGCTGGCCTCCTGGGTCTTCTGGACACCCTTGCTGGACAGCCTGGCCCAAGAGGTCCCACGCCTCTACCCAGGAGGAGCTGAGAATGGGTACCTGTTGGACTTTGAGCTCAGTGGCGCCCAGCTGCGCTTTTGCCAGCAGCAGCTGGAGCAGCTGGTGCCTGGGCCAGGTTCTGCTCCAATGCCCAGTAACTTCCAGGTTCTTACGGCCAAGTACCGGGAAAGCCCCCTGATCTCGGCCTGGCCTGAGGAGCTGATCTCTAAGCTGGCCGATGACATCGAGGCCACAGCTGTGCGGGCCGTACGGCGGTTTGGCGAGTTCCATCTGGCACTCTCTGGTGGCTCAAGCCCTGTGCCCCTGTTGGAGCAGCTGGCCACTGGGCACTTTGGCTTCCCCTGGGCCCAGACGCATCTGTGGCTGGTGGATGAGCGCTGTGTCCCACTTTGGGATCCTGAGTCAAACTTCCAGGGCCTGCAGGCTCACCTGCTGCGGTACATCAGGGTCCCCTACTACAATATCCACCCCATGCCTGTGCATCTGCACCAGCGGCTCTGTGCTGAGGAGGACCAGGGGGCCCAGATGTATGCCAGCGAGATCTCAGCCCTGGTGGCCAACAGCAGCTTTGACCTGGTGCTGCTGGGCATGGGCACGGACGGGCACACAGCCTCCCTCTTCCCACAGTCCCCTACTGGCCTAGATGGCACACAGCCAGTAGTGCTGACCAGGAGCCCCTACAAGCCACACCAGCGCATGAGCCTTAGCCTGCCCCTCATCAACCGTGCCAGGAAGGTGGCAGTCCTGGTCATGGGCAGAGTGAAGCGTGAGATCACCATGCTGGTGAGCCGCGCAGGCCATGAGCCCAAGAAGTGGCCCATTTCAGGTGTCCTGCCTAGTTCTGGCCAGCTGGTTTGGTATATGGACTATGAGGCATTTCTGGGGTGATGGTACCTTTGGCCTTTGCTCACTCCCATGCTTGCTTTCCCCTGTACTGCCCCCTTCCTCTTCATCCCACCACCTGCCCCGGCTCTCTGGAACCCGATGCCTCAGGGTTAAGCCCCAGAGAGGAAAGGATGAGGCCTTATCCCAGTCCCTTTGACAGTCTGTATCTAGTTGTGGTGGGTAGGCACAGACATAAGGAAGAAGTGGAGTCTCTGCTCTTGAGAACTTCCAGTCCAAGTTAGGAGAGAAGTAGCCCCCTTAAGAACATAGCTGTAGCAGTTACACATTAATACCAGCCAGCACAAATAGGACACTGTGAAAGCTCCCAACTTCAATAGCAATACAATGGCTAGGATTAATTAGAGAAGGCTTCCTGGAAGGGGTGATCCTTGAACAGGCTCCTGTGCAAAAGAAAAATATGGATGATAGAAGGGAGCACAGGTGTTCATCAGGTACAGAGCCCATGCAAAGCAGGGTGCTAGAAACTGTTCAGAGACCTTGAGTTGGCTGAGTCCCTATTTCTCCCATCTATTCCCTTCTTTCTGAGACTTTGACATTTAGTCTACTGTCCTGGCCTCTTTGTGGCTGCCTCCTGCTCTGTCTCTGTGCTGACTCTCAGACAGATGAAGGATGGTAGTAGTAACACAGCAACAGATAACTAGGAAGTTAAAAGGCCCCAGAAATCTCACAACTGGTATTTGGAGCTTCCTTTCTCAGTAGATGAACAGCTCTGCGTGGGGGAGGCCCCTGCCCACTCCCCCTTCTCTAGCCAACCCCCTCGTGATACACAGTGGGCATAGACGATTCGGCCATTCCAGGGGTCCCTCAATCAAGAGGGTCCTTTGCACCTCAGGGGACTTCCGGTGGGTGTATACTCTCAGTATACCCTCTCACTTTACCAGGAAATTCGGTTGAGTCTTTCTGTGATGGGACACATCATTTGTGGGGAGAGATGTGATGTCAAGTGGTCCAGACCCTCCAGGTGCTCTGATCTCTCCAGACAGGAGCCAGGCCTCCTCCACAGGCCAGGTGGCTCCTAGGCCGCACTGGCTACCCACCAGCTTCTCAGGAATGTGGCCAGTTTGCAGCCTTCGGGGGACAAGTGGCAGTCTACCTTCCTCGCTACCCCTCGGGGACACGGAGCCTGCCTACTTGCTATCTGCTGGCCCCTCCTGCCACCTCTTATGTCACTGCCAACACTGCTGACCACCTAGGGAACAATAGATAGCTTCTGTTTGGAGCAGGTTGGGTCCTCTGTTCTTGATTAGTGCTGGGCCAGTACTAGTGTGTGGAAGGTCCCTCTGAAAATCTTTTTTAAAATATTCTCACTAATTATTATTTCAACTTCCCACATCATGCTCCCCAGACATTACCGTAAAGGAATAAGACCAATCATTCTGTGTGACTGCTCTCTTGTTGTAAAGTCACACTTTGTGTCAGGTGTTGGTGTCACCCCGAGGGCTTTCGTGAGAAGGAGCATCGCAAAGTGTATTTCTCTGCTTTTGATTGTTTACACTTTCTTCAAGGCAATGGATTTCAAAGAATTCTGGCTTTCATTTGAGACGCGTGCATGTGAATTGGGTGCCCGAGTGGGGGTTCTCTATGTGAAAGGCACTGGTGTTAAAAGTCCCTGGCGTCCTCTGACCCGTCTGGACAGGACATCTCCTTACACCAAGAGAGCTAACCTCAGAAAAGCGGAACCTCACTGCTGGGTCTGGATGTCTGTCTGTCTCTCTCTTTCTCTCTGGGGGTCCGCATTTTAGGGTTTTTTGGTTTGTTTTTTTGTTTTTGTTTTTGCATCTGGTGGGCCGTGCTCCTGAGGGGACGCAGGTGGTTGCAGGCCGGGTGGTGCCACCTGTGGCCGCGTGGGGGCGCTCTTGCACCGCCCCGGCCCTCCGGGCGTGGCCGGCAGAGGAGCCTTCATCAGGGGAGTGAAGAGGACCAGGCCTGGGGCTACACACCCTGCTTGCCCTGCTCACTTGGTCTCATCTACCCTCTCAACCAACCCTGAGGAAAGGGGTGCAGTCTTTTTTCTGGATGACATTGAACCTGAACCTGTCTGTTGACAGCAGGCCTGGGTGCCAGCGCTGTCCTGCCCCCTCCTTCCCAGGGGGCTCTTGTTGCTCAAAAGGGGCGCTTCCAAGGTGGTCGCAAGCCTGCATGCCCTTGGGGTCCTGGAAGAGGCCCAGGGCCCCTCCACAGCAAATGAGCATCTCTAGAGCAAGCACGGTACTATTTGTTGTGTGGAATGAACTAGGGACTTTCCAGGCTGTTGTAAACTAGATTGTGGTTCTGATCTGGGAGCAGTTTTCTGCTAAGCAAGTGAAAAAATGGTGCCTTGTTGACCTTCCTGCTGCTTGTTTCTCTGCAGACAGTGCTTTATTCCCGCTCTTGGGCCTCCAGGTGCGAAGAATCAAAGCTCGCTGCCAGCAAACTGATGGTTCAGGATGCCCCTCTGGGGCGTCCTCCCCCAAGTACAGGCTTCTGGCCCCAGGCCCAGAGCTTGCTCCTGCTCTGCCTTGCTCCCTCCTTCCCCGTTTGTACAGAGCTGAGGGCAGTGTGACAGAGGAGGGAAGAAGCTTCCACCAGGCCTTAAGGGGCAGTTTCCCGCAATTTAGTTTTCAGGAACAAAAAAAAAAAAATTTTTTTTCCGACAAAAATACACGCAGCCTCACATAAGCAGACTCAGCATCAGTTGTATCCAGTTAGGCTTTTATCCTGAGCAGACAGGACCCTGCAGAACTTTCTCCACTTGTAGAGAAGCTGCCTTGCATGTTCTCAAATGAACCAGGCACAGGAAAGACTGGTAATGCCCGTGATGGCCCGCCAGCACCATCCGCAGCTGCCTGCCCCTCGAAAGGTAGACCCCAGGGGGGCAAGGGCCTGAAGAGGGCTGCTGCCCACCCCCCACCCCCATGTCACCAGACCGGTGTCAGGCCGTCCCCTGCTGTCAGCATCCTGACCTGAAGACCTTGTTGCTTGCACCCCTCCTATACCTCCCACCACTGCTCTGCTGGGCCTGTGGACCAGTCTGCAGCCCATGCTGGTGGCGCCTGGGGGGCTGCTCGCTTTGTTCAGGTGACCTCCCCTCGAGGAAGAGGGGACTTTGTCCAGCCTAACCAGCATCTGGCAGCCGATGGGAACCTGAGGGGGTGTCTAGGCAGATAAACGGGAAAAAATGGGCTCAGTTGGTTCTCCCAGTTCTCAGAGGCTCTGGGCATTTGAGTTCTAGCAACGGGTGTCGCCTGGTTGCAAGCGTGGATTGGTTCCTGCCTGAGTCCTGCCTGCCCTCTCTTCCCTCGGCTCACCGGCAGGTCACCCGAGCCACAGGCTCTGCGGCCCAGCGTCCATCTCGTGTTTCTGGCTATGGGGTGCCCTGTGCCCCACGCTGTGCAGTCTCAGTACGAAGCCACAGTCCCTGGGTGCCCTATCAGCACTAGAGCAGATCGCTGCCCCCCTTCAGAGCAGCCTTCGCTCCACACAGGTCTCCACCGGGTGGAGCAAGCGGGAACCCAGGCCAGCATGTTTTCTGGGGACACACAGTAGCAGATGTCTTCCCTAGAAGCGATGCTCTGGCCTCCCTCCGCTCCCCCCTGCCCAGCCAACAGCTCTGGGTGGTCTTTGAGCACGACTTCCACAGCTCATCACTAAATGAGGTACAAGTTCATTAGCACTGTCACCAGCATGAGACAGAAGTGGCAGGATTTGAGGCCTTTCTGAAATTATAGCACACCAGGAAACCTACCTCCCCAGCCAGCTTCTGGTCGCTTCTGTTTGCAAAGCAGATCCCTGGGGTTGCATTTGTGTGTGACCTGAAGGTGAGATAGGGTGTAGGTCTAGGTGAATTATGCTTCCACTTGTTTGTTGATTCCCAAGGATGGTCTTTGTCTAAGCCTCTTGCCCTGCTCTCAGGTGCTTTACAGCGCGTCTCTGCATCTCTTCTGTCCCTCAGGTGTAGGGCCAGGTAAACATGTTTGCATTTGCTCAGAGCCCAGTGGAGCATATTGGCTAGTCGTTTGCTTTGAAAGTGGAAGTGCAAACAGACACTACATAAATTTGTCGGTTTGGGTCTTTAGCCTTACCGCTACGGAAGTCTAGGAAGGTCAGTTAGAACATGTCACAAGATACATAACTGGGAAAGGAAAGGACCCTGGGTTAGCTCCAGACCAGGGCCCAGGGTGCATCCAGCTGTCTGAGGTGTGACCTGTGCAGTCTGCTCCTCCAGGCCCCACAACCAGCAGGGCCTCCACTGGGCCCAAGGGTGGTGCTGCCCCGGCCTGAGTGCAGAGCCTTCAGCCGGAAGGCCGTGCTGGTCCGGTGCCTGCAGGAGACCTAGACAGGGGTGTGGCGGTGTGGGGGTGGCCAGTGTGGAAACCAGGGTCTGTTACAATCAGGGCCGTGCCGGGCCTTCTCTGTCCCATGCTGGGACACTCCATCCTGGGCTTCTAGCGAGCAGAGAGACAGGGAAGCTCCTTTCTCAGAGGGACCATGTCCCTTATGTGGCCGGGCGACAGTAGGCATGAAAACTGCTCTCTGCCAGGCAGCAGGAATGTGCCTTGTTTTCTCACGCAGAGAAACTGCCCCTGGTTTTTATGGAAGTGGTGAACACTCAAAGATGTCTCAGACCATGAGACACATTCAGAATGGAGTTTTTAAAAAGACTTTTTGTATGTCAAATGTAACATTTATTTTTTAAACAATAAAATTGTTTTGCCACAGTCCATGCTCTCCTTCTTCCTCTGGGAGACAGGGTGCGTGGGTTTCAGACCTGGCCATTGTGCTCTGCGTGCTCTTGGAGGTGAGTAAGGTCTGGGAGGGAAGACCTCCTGACGTCCTCACTGCAGGTGCAGGTGTGTGGGGACAAGCCAGCTGCATCCCATTGGTACGAGACCCACAGGCCTCCTGGGAGAGACCGCAGTGGGCCAGGTGACTGGACTTCATGGGTCTCTAAGCCATTCGCCCAGCATTTCTGGCAGCCTACCAGCTGGGGAAAACCTTGCCCAGAGGGGGTATATTGTGGTGTCTGAGAGGGAGACACCAGGAGGGAGCTCCTCTGAAAGCTGCAGGGCTTGATGGCCATAGTTGGTCATTTTTGTGTCCTCTAGTCGGTTTTCACCTCCAACCTGTGTCATGTTCCCAGGAACCTAAAGATTTGGGGGAGGGGTCAGATAAAGTGTCAGAACCATGGGGGGTGGGGGTATGGGAGCCAGAGATTCACTGGCTGTGGGCCCTAAGGAGGTGTGGTGACCTCACGAGGCAGTGACAAGAGCCACAGGTTCATCCAGAGAATGATGTCCCCAGGGACCAGAGAGTCCTCGGCTCTGCTGCATCCCAGGAAGTGTGCGGAGAATGTGCTTCTGGGGAGGTGGCCCAGAGCTGGGAGAGAGACCAGTGTTGGTTCCCTACTGTCTGCTGGGGGCCCAGCTGGTGTCTGTGAAGGCAGCAGTGGAGAGTCTCCCCTCCCTCCCGCCCCCTTCCCTGGGAGCCTCCGTGTACTTGTGTTCAGGGGTCCTGGAGAGACAAGATGTCCGATGCCCACAGCTGCAGTGACTGGCTCGGTGGGGACTGTCAATCAAATCAGAGTGAATTCAAGGATGAGAGCCAAAGCTGTTCTGTGTCCTGGACCTGCTGGCAGCCCTCGCCCGCCACGAGGAGCCTGAGAGTGAGGGGCACGGCAGAGCAGAGCCCAGGGAGCCACCCCAGACCCAGACACCAGTCGCACTGTGATACTGCCCACTGATCATTGATTTGCAGGAGCTTCAATTAGTGAAAATAGGGCTGTCACCTGTGGCAAGGAATACACTTAAGAGGCACCACAGCTGAGGGGCGGGGGATGAGGAAGCCCAACAGAAACCCCACAGTGACCCGAGAGGTGGCTGGGGCCCATCAGGAGGGCAGATGGCTCCGTCCAGGCCAGGCTTTCATCAGTCCAGGGTGGCCACACCAGCTCTGGCTGGCCCAGTGCTATAGCGCTTTGGCTCTTGGTGGTCTCTTCATCTGGACCATTTTTCTTGCTTGACCAAAGTGTTTGCAAAGCAAGTCAGAAGGGCAGGAGGGATGGAGCTCTTGGCGGACAAGCTCAGGAAACCCTGGCCTAAAGGGCTTCTCCGGAGTCTCCTCCCAGCCCTGCAGGACCACAGCCAGAGCCCTGGAGGGCGTCAGCTTGCACCCTGGGCCCCCAGCAGAGGGGGACGGTGTGGTTGGATGCCACTGGCTGTCCTGTTCTCTCCCCCATCTGCCCACTGTCCCTGACCTGTCCACTGAGTGAGTACCAAGACCCCAGAGACTCTACATGGCTGCGGCGCAGTAAATGTGTGACCGAATGGATAGAGGGTGATCGTGAAAGCTGGACAAAAATTGTCAGCTATGGCTGGGAAAGTTCAGGGACTGTCCTGAAGTCCTTGCTCACAGGTGCCTCCTCCTGGAGGACCTACTGAGCAGGGCCATCTCAGTAATGCAGGGAGGCTATCCCAGCAGGAGCCTGGGGGAGAGTCACCAAGAGAGGCTCAGGCAGGTCTGCTGGGGAGCCCCGAGGTAGGTGTCTGTGGGTGAGGACAGAACAGGGCTGGTGCCTGGGACCGCGAAGCTTCCACAGGGCGCCATTGGCAGAGCTTCTCGAAGCCAGGGCAGCCAATGCAAGAGGCCAGATGGGTAGAGGACAAGGTGGGTGTTGCAGCCAGAGGGGAGACTGATACATGGCATCACCTCCAGGGGAGATTGCATCTCCCACTTCACAGCAGCAGCTGCAACGGGCGCCAGTACTCATGTTGGGGTGATGGGGGGGATGCAGAAGTGAGGCAAGGTCTACCCTCACACCTGGGACTTTCCGGCTTACTGCAGATGGGGAGCGGGGCCAGGGGTCAATGTGGCTGCCGGACATTGGCAGGCGTGACCCCCCCACCCCTGTGCCTCATCCGCTCCTCCCATCCTGAGGGGTGTGGGCACAGCCGCTCCCCTCTCTCGTCCCGAGCCCCAACAGGCCTGTGGACATTGCCATCATATTTTTTGTTTGAAGAAGCATTGTTGGAAATAAAAGTCATAAAACTAGGCTCATGCCACCACTTACACCCTCCCTGCTGCTCCACATGCTTTCATTTTTAACAGAAAGAAAAAAATAATACAGAAAAGCAAAGATAAGAATATTAAACTAGGGGCACCTGGGTGGCTCAGCAGTTGAGCGTCTGCCTTCTCAGGACGTGATCCTGGAGTCCTGGGATCGAGTCCCGCATCGGGCTCCCGGCATGGAGCCTGCTTCTCCCTCTGCCTGTGTCTCTGCCTCTTTCTCTCTCTGTGTCTCTCATGAATAAATAAATTAAATCTTTTAAAAAAAAAAAAAAGAATACTAATCCATGTAGATCACTTCCACTCAGCATTAACCATTATAAGATCTTTGGATATTGACCTTTTTTTTTTTTTTTTGAAAAAAACAAAATCGCATATTTTGGTAAAAATAATGCATGCTGGGTACAACTGAATTTTTTAATTTATTTATTTTTAATGATAGTCACACACAGAGAGAGAGAGGCAGAGACACAGGCAGAGGGAGAAGCAGGCTCCATGCACTGGGAGCCTGACGTGGGATTCGATCCCGGCTCTCCAGGATCATGCCCTGGGCCAAAGGCAGGCGCTAAACCGCTGCGCCACCCAGGGAATCCCTATAACTGAATTTTAACTGTACCCAAAAGGACACAAATAAATGCAAAAAAAAAAAAAAAATCCCCGGAAACAAGCAACAGTGGCATTAGGTGAACTTCTTGCAAGACATGGATACAAATAGAACAGATCAAAAATATTTTGTAAAGACAAGATCCTTCTCTTGAAGCTAATTTCAACTTCAATAGTGCATTAATTATTTTCCTTGAAATTGAAAGTGTTGCTGAACTCCATGTAAATACTTGGTCACACGAGACCTACTATTTCCAAAAAGGGTTCTTTAACATGAGAAGTATCGAAAACATTAAGAGGCTGGGGTCCTCACTGGTTTTTAGCATGGCTTTTTAACTCCATGCTTCGATTTCGATTTGGGGGTCTGCTGACTTCAATAGGTAAAGACATGGGCTCTCACACAGCTTCCCGTCACCTGCACCCCCACCCCTGGCTCTGGATTTTGGTAGCTCTATGATTTTTATTTTGCTGTCGTCCAGGGTTCCTAATGTTTCTCCCAGTTGCCTCCTGTGGTCTCCGTGCCATACTATGTCACACTTCTGATGCCCAAATTCACCTTCGCCCATCCAGGAAGGTGGAGGCATGACTGCGTCTCCTTTGTCTTCTGAATGTGCACCCTCCCTCTCCGTGCCCCCTCCCATGGAGGCCCGGGCTCCACGGTGTGCTGGCTGCATGCATCCCTCCACCTATACATTTACGGGGTGCAGGCTGAGCATGCAGCACCTCACGGCCCAGCCTCAGGGGGCCAGGCCCCAGGGAAGGGGCACTCAGTTTAGATACGGAGCAGCTGCTGGCTCAAGGCCGGGCTCTGTTCCAGCCCAGGGCATCCTTCAGGAAACAAAGACCCTATCTACATGGAGACCATGCTCCTCGTTCTCTCAAATCCTCCATCCCTCTGTTATTTGGGGTTCACACCCCCGTCTTTGGGAAATGCCTCCTCTGCTTCATTAGCCACCTCTGCCACTTCTCAGCATTCGAACACAAAGATTGTTTTGCAGGAATTCCCTCCTCGCTAGCAGATTTCTCAGTGGCCCCCCTACCTACTTCCACCTGCACCACTCTGTCAGAAGTGCCCTTGAAGGTCATTATGACCTCCTATTGGACATGGCCACACCTTGGAGCTCACGGACACAGTGAAAGGCCACTGCCACCACAGCCACAGTGTCCACAGCTCAGATTAAGACCTCATTTTGCTGATGAGAAACCAAGGCATCAAAGGTTCCCTAACTTGCCCAAGGTCCAGCTACCAACTGGCAAAGGCCCCAATGTCTATCTGATCCAAGTCTACACCCTTAACTATGGGATCACCTCAGAAGCAGGTGCTCCTGGGAAAGAAGGTGCTGCCTTTGGGTAAAACAGCAGCGCTCAGCCAGTGCCATCCCGGAGCCAGGCCATCTGCACTTCCCCAGCCTCCATCAGATCCCCAGACCTGGGCTCCAAGTGAGAGAGGGCCTCCACTTTGGCCAGCTCTCGCTTCCTCTTCCCAAGGGCTTGTTTCTGCTGATCCACAGCAGAGAACATCATTAAGCTGGGGGTGGTAGCCAGGTGAAGGCCGTTGTCACCAAGACCTGCTGGCTGCACCCAACTGGGGGGACTGGGCCGATGTCTGCTGACCCTGAGAGCAAAGCTGGGGCTGGGCTGGAGGATGACTTCTGTTTTTACTGCAGTCCCTTCCTCCTCATTTAGCCTCTCCATTAATTTAACTACGATGGTTGCAAAGCTGAGGTCTGTTTCCCTTCCCACATCCGACCAAGAGGGAAAGCAATTCGTAAAGGTGGATTTTCTACCCTTTGGATTTCTAGTTATGTATAAAAAATACCATTAAAAAAAAACGTGAAATGGGAAAAATTATCCACAATGCCTGCCCACCACTCTAACTATTATTTTTGTGTTCAGGGACCTGTCCTGGGACACTTTATCTTTACCATCCCAGGGTTCTGTATTCTGCTCTTTTTATGCATATGTTTTCATGAACATTCTCCATGTTTCTTCATGTCTTCGTGTTTGGCTTCCATGCATGCGTTCCATGCACATCCCATGGAACAGAAGCATC